GCTGCTGCCCATGGAGAAGTAAACCTTAATTTTGTTATTGGGAGCACCAGTTTTGAACATCCAGTATTAGTAGCAGGTATCGAAGATGAACTTATTCTCGGAATGGACATTATGACCACTAAAGGTTTTGAACTAAACTTCAAACAGGGAATTTTGAAAATAAATGAAGAAGAAGTGGTTCTACATCGAAAATGTGAGGAGACGCTTCGCGTGGTGGTAGCAGAAGATGTTTCGATCCCTGAGCGTTGTGAGATATTTTTGGATGGTTGCCTGGAAGGTAAAATGAATAATGGGAGTATTATTCTGTTGGAGCCAAGGAACCATGACAGCGAAATAGGACGAGGGATCGCTGTTGGAAAAGCCCTGCTACGAGCGAAGAAGACTGTACCGGTGAGAGTAATGAACACGAATTATTATTCTGTATCCTTGAAGAAGGGAACCCTGTTAGGGTACTGTTGTTCGGTCTCCTCAGTCATTCGAAGCGTGGAAGCCTCCAAAGTTTCGACTTCAAAAATTCCGGACAAAATGGTGAAGGAGTTAGTAAACGTTAAAGGATTATCTCCCGAAAATAGTAGAAAATTGAGAAACCTAATAATCAAGTATCAAGACGTGTTTGATAAAGGAGAAGCAGGAGATAGAGGTCGTACCAATTTAGTACAACATAAAATTGACACCGGAGATGCACGACCAATCAAACAAAATCCGAGAAGACTTCCGCTCGCCAAACGTGAAGAAGCTGACAAAATCCTTCGAGAAATGAAAGAAGAGGGTGTCATCGAACCATCTAACAGCCCGTGGACATCGCCGGTAGTACTAGTAAAGAAGAAAGACGGTACCACCAGGTTCTGTGTTGATTATCGGCAGCTCAATAATGTTACCAAGAAGGATAGCTATCCCCTGCCGAGGATAGACGATACTCTAGACACACTGGCGGGGTCAACGATATTCTCTACGTTAGATCTGAAGAGTGGATATTGGCAAGTCGACATGGCGCCGAAAGACAGAGAGAAGACAGCGTTCTCGGTGGGCTCCGGACTGTGGCAATTTACCGTCATGCCTTTTGGATTGTGCAACGCGCCAGCTACCTTTGAGAGACTAATGGAGTCTGTGTTAAAGGGACTATCCTGGACTACCTGTTTAGTGTACCTGGATGACATCATAGTGGTTGGGAAATCCTTTGACCATCATCTGAAGAATTTGGAAGAAGTTCAAGCGACTAGGGAGTTCTGGTTTGAAACTTAGCCCCATGAAATGTCATCTGTGTCAAGAAAAGGTACACTACTTGGGCCATGTAGTCTCCTCCCAAGGAGTTGCGGTAGATCCACAGAAGACCAAGACAGTGGAAGAGTGGCCGATACCTAAAGATAAACATGAACTACGAAGCTTTTGGGACTATGCACATACTATCGACGCTATGTACAGGGTTTCGCCACCATCGCAAAACCATTGACCAGACTTACCGAAGGCGAGAGGCGTTTCTCTTGGGACTCAGATTCTGACGAGGCATTCCGAAAATTGAAGAAGGCCCTGACTAGTGCGCCCATACTTAGCTACCCTCTTGGCAACGGAAACTTTATATTGGATACCGACGCTAGCAATGTTGCATTAGGCGCTGTTCTGTCTCAGATCCAGGATGGTCAAGAAAAAGTCATTGGTTATTTTAGTAAGACCTTGTCAAAACCGGAAAGGAACTACTGTGTAACCAGACGAGAATTACTAGCAGTAGTTAAAGCAGTGGAACACTTCTACAAGTATCTCTATGGAAGAAAGTTCTTGTTAAGAACAGACCATGCTGCTTTGAAATGGCTGTTGCAGTTTAAGAATCCTGAAGGGCAGGTAGCTAGATGGATTGAACGATTACAAGAATTTGACTTCGACACAGAACATCGAGCTGGGGCAATCCATCGAAATGCCGACGCACTTTCCAGAAGACCTTGCGCTAAGGACTGTAAGCATTGTTCCCGAGCAGAAGAGAAAGAAGTGAAATTCCTAAGAACAACTGTGGTTAATGATAGTTGGCAACCCGAAGATCTTGCAAATGACCAAACCAGTGACCAGGAATTAGGTTTAGTAATTAACTGGAAAAACACAGGCCAAAGACCAACGTGGGAAGAAGTTTGCAGATATTCGCCGAACGTAAAGTCGTACTGGGCCCAGTGGAATTCCTTGGTAATAGATAACGGACTACTTCGCCGTGTGATCGAGAGACCGGAGGGACAAGAAGAGAGAAGGCAGATCGTCATTCCAAAGAAGAGGGTCTCAGAAGTCTTGGAGGAAGTTCACAATGGAACCAGCGGAGACATCTTGGTGTTACCAAGACACTTGGCAAGCTGCGTGAACGGTTCTACTGGGTGAACTGCAAAGAAGATGTGAGGGCCTGGTGTAAGAAATGTGACATTTGCGCAGCCATTAATGGGCCACAAAAGCGTGGTAAAGCCCCTATGCGCCAGTACAATGTTGGTAGTCCCTTCGAACGAATAGCGATCGACGTGGCTGGTCCTTTCCCGGAGACGAACGATGGCAACAAATACATTGTGGTAGTAATGGATTACTTCAGCAAATGGGTCGAGGCCTACGCGTTGCCAAATCAAGAAGCGTCCACGATTGCTGATGCCCTTGTTAAAGAATGGATCTGCAGGTTTGGTGTTCCCATGGAGCTTCATTCAGATCAGGGAAGAAACTTTGAGTCCAATCTGTTCCAAGGCGTCTGTGAAGTCCTGAACATCCGCAAGACCAGGACGACTGCTCTACATCCACAATCCGATGGGATGGTTGAACGCATGAACAGAACTATCAACCGTTATCTGGCCAAAGTAGTCTCTGACCACCAAAGAGACTGGGACAAATTTCTTCACCTGTTCCTGTTGGCCTACCGTTCATCCGTCCAAGAATCTACAGGGCAAACTCCAGCCAGCATCGTTATGGGACGGGAAGTGCGCCTACCCTGTGATCTGAAATTTGGTTGCCGACCGGGAGAAGAAGTCGCCGGAGAAGATTATGTCCACACACTACGTCAAAGGATGGACGACATTCATCAGAGAGTCCGCCTAAATATTCAAAGTGCTAGTGACCGAATGAAGGAACACTACGACATTCAAGCTGAGCATGGAGGATACCAACCAGGGAAGTTGGTGTGGCTATATAACCCGCAGAGACGTCGTGGGTTATCTCCGAAGCTACAATCCTCGTGGGAAGGGCCATACGAAGTCATGGATAGAATTAATGACGTCGTATACCGTATCAGAAAATTGCCAAAAGGAAAACCGAGGGTAGTCCATTTCAACCGTTTGAGCCCCTACCAAGGCGAAATAGAAGATCGTGCTGGGACCGTGAGAACCTGCAGCTTTGATCCCCCTGATTCGGAGATGTCCTTTGACGATTTCATGGCCCGATACAACAGCAGTGAGAAGGCTCGCTATGGTGTAACCAAAGAAGATCAACGAGACCTCTTTTCCGTGCCTCCTGATTATTCGCTCGCTCATTGTGTGGCTCGAGATTTGCGGATGTCCAGAGGAATCGCTGCGACGTTCAATGAGAAGTTTGGGCGTGTCGGAGAACTACGCCGACAGGATCCAGAGGTTGGAAGCGTCTTGAGGCTAACCGACAATGCACATGGTCAAGCAAGGCACATCTTCTACCTGGTCACCAAGGAATGGTCCCCGAGTAAGCCGACTTATCTCAATCTATGGAAGACCCTGATTGAACTGAGAGAAGCCCTGCTAAACAACAACATTGCACGATTAGCCATTCCGAAGCTGGCGTGTGGACTCGATGGTTTGAGTTGGCGTACAATCCGGAACATGATTGAAGTCTTGTTCAGATTTACGGGAATCGAGATCCTCGTTTGCTGCTACAACCCAAAGCTGAGATCGGGAGAGAAAACTGTAGACTGCTATTTCTACCAGACTTCGCAATGTACCAGGGGCCAGCTTTGCAAATACCTTCATTCACCGTATACATCTCGGGACCAGCATGTGCCTAAGAAGGGGGCAGTGTTGCGAGCCGCGAGTTGGACTCGACCTAACCTCACAATATGGCCCGCCCTCGGATGACCTTAACATCGCATAGACACCGCAATGATTCATTCGTTCGAGAAGAATCGAGACCCACTAGAATGGACTAGTACATACGAGAACATTCGAAAACCTTCTCTATGCGCCTAACGATCTTTGGACTATTCTAGATTTCTTTTACCTGTCGGTATAAAAGCCGGCGGCAGTGGCCTAGAGAGGACAGTTATAAATATACCAGTGCAGTTGACGCGCCAAAAATTCAAAATAAATTCTTAGTTATAAATCGTTTGTAAATAGTTCTATAAGTCTTTTATCGTTATTGTTTTTGTTAATTAGTGTTAAATAAATAGTGTTTAAATAAATTGTGACTTTCTATCCACACGGAACCAACGAAAAACGTAACAATAATAAAGGTCTACTGACGCAAAATCATATAAAAATTAAAATATCTAGGAAAATCTTTGTCTGGGGGGCAAGCAGCCTTAATAATATTTTGAAGATATATAAATTCCCCACTGAACACCGGAAAAATATACTGGGTGTTCCATTTAAAATAAAGGAGTAACGTGCTTTTAAAAGTAACTAATGATCCACATTAATTTTGTCTCACCCTGCATAACTTTGCTTGCCAAATTTCAATTTGGTTTAACAAACAGAAGTTACTGTAATTAAATATCAGGCTATACAAGGTCAACTAAAATTTAGGTTGTTACTAAATGTAGAGTAAATTTAAAATTTACTCTACATTTTCACAAAATGTGAAATATGTCAAACTCTTTAGTTTTTAGGTATACGCTTCTTTAATGAAACTCACCTTTATTGGAAAGTGTTCTTCTTCTAGTGTTTAGCAGTTTATTCTACATCTTATTTGATTCTAAATCTTGGTTTAATATAGTAATGACCAAACAATTGTTACAAACATAGTATACTATTACAAACATCATATAAATGAAGTTGTAGCTAATATATTTTTTTCTGTAATTTTAGAACGCAGTCAGAGCCTCGACAATATCGTCACAAACATTGAATTACAAAACGATCTTAGGAGACCAAATCACGTACCTAGAACTACATACATGGTTACCCAAAATCATACACACTGTAATAATGTTGTACCTAGTAATATTACAGTTACACAGAAGTTTTAGAAATTTTATTACATATTAAGGTATTATTTAAAAAACTATTATAAATTATACAATTTTAGATTCATCTCTGAACTTTGCACTTATGCTATAGTCGCAAAACATTTTATTTAAAATTCTGGAAACATTATTTAATAATAATTAATTATATATCATTTTTATTACCAATAATAAAAATCAAATGCACTGATTATTATTAATTTCTTCCTAGAACGAATATTTCTTATAATTCTCTTTTACTTGAATGTGTCGTTTATGCAGGGTGTTCCTTAACGACCTAATATTTAAGGTGGCGATTCTTGGAACTATTTTAAGAAAAAACCTCATATGATTGTATGTCCTAAACATCTTAACTTTCGAGTTACGGGGTGGTAAAAATATAAAAAAATAACTCTGAGATTATTATAATTATCTTTATGAAATTTCATACACGTATTCTATTCATGAAGCTTTTTTTTAGTATACCAACTTTTTTGTTTATTAATTTTGCTTAATTTCCATTCATCCGATGCAATAACTATTTCCACATATCAATCACCACATCAGACTTTTAGCGATTTGACCCCGAAGTAAAATGACCTTTTATTTTTTTAAGCAAAAACTATCCGTCTGACGAAAAAATTAGCAGATGAAAATTGTTTAGAAATGAATGAAGATTTTGAAAATAATTTTTATTCTAAGAGATATCAGTGGCGTACCATTTTTCCAAAAATGTTCAGTGGAAAACTCGCATAGACGCCATTCGTTGGAAAAAATAAAATTGTTTGTACATCAAAATAGGCATTTTGATGCATAGAAAACGTGTACCAAGTTTCATAAAGATATCTATAACACCGGAGTTATTAAAAAAATAGAAAAATTGACCACCCTGTCCATTTCAAAAGTTTATTTAGGACACACATTCATACAAAGTTCTTTTCTTAGAATAAGTCGAGGAATCACCCCTTTAAATGTCATTGCATGTCATTAAAAAACACCCTGTATAAACTTTTCATTATTTAACTAAACATATTAGTGAAAGTCATAATAACTAAATAAGCAAGTCAGAGATTATTTTTTAATCTTTGTTGTGTTCTATATGTATTAGACATAATAATTATAATTATTGTATGATATGTATGTAGTTTATGTGCCACTTTTTTACTGATGTATTGCATCTAAATTTTATATTTATATCAAAGTCTTGTAATTAATGTTAAAACTATATAGTAAAAAATATTATACAGGGTGAGTCTCAAATAAGTGCAACTATTTTTGGGGGTAGTATATTTAGATCCCAAAAACACGTCAATGAGTTTTTTCGCGAAAAAAAATGACAATTTGCAATTTTTTGAACAATTTTTTGGATTTTTTAATTTTTACTTAAAAACATAATATTTTTATAATATGACAACACAGGTGTAGTAGATTAAATTTACAAGAAAGAAAACGCAGAAAAGATTCTAATTTTTTTTTTCGAAAAATCAATTTTTTGGAAATTTTCAATGTAAAATATCTCGGTTATTATGGACTTTTTTGAAAAATGGCAAAGAAAATAATGTTTCTTTTATGGATATCTACCAACCCTGAAAAAATTTGCTTCTATTTAAGACTTACCTTGTATGTATGTGTATATATGTGTTATGCATGTCAATAATAAAATTAATTGATTTAATAAAATTCGATGTGAATTATGTTTTCTTTTATTTAAATTGTAGTAGTAAAAAAGCATACACCGCATGATTTGAAGAAATGGTTAATGTTAAGGTAGTTTAACAACTACCTTAGAAATGACATTCGATGATATTTTATACGAAAAATAGTGTGGTCGTTATATTTTTGATTATACGTTATATATGTTACGTGTAATACGCGAAATTAGTTAATTCCCGAATTATCCGGTTAGAACGCGAATTATACAATATGATTGGTTATATCTGCTAAGCAGGTGATGAGATGCAATTTTATTATATAAATTGCAACATTCATTTTGTAAACTTCAACTAACAAATCTTTGCCAGCCGAGCCTGTGGCTCAGCAATTTTTCTCCAGTTTTAAAAATAAAACAAAAATCAAGCAGATGCGTACCTACTTCAACCACATACTGCTTATTACAACAGGATAGGCTTGAATTACATAACATATTTTTGCCTGCTTAACACATTCAATTATGTTCTTAAAACCATCACAGTTTAAATAGCCGATTTTATCACTTTTTGTAACTGCGATTTTAAAAAAGTCTTCATTAAAACGCATCTTGTTTAAGCTTTCTATCATATTATTGAAAAAAACGGTGTCAAAGACGGCTGCAGAATGACAATCGATGATAATTTTGGCGAGGTCAAATCCTAGAGGTAATTTACTTGACCCGTACTGTTCTATATTTTTTAATGGCGCTCACTGCCAGTCGACCTTATGAAGATTGTAATTTAATTTTATATTAAGTTAAAATTATTTTTAAATGCTGTAGTTCAAAATTCGAGAAAAAAAATTACGAAATAGATTCGTGCGTCTGAAAACGTTCTATCATTTTTTAATCTTCCTATAATTAGTGTTAATTTTTGACAAGTTTTATGTCAATTTTAGTAAATGACGTTGACAAAATTATCATCGATTGTCATTCTCCAACCGTCTTTGACACTGTTTTTTTTTCGACCATGCGGTATATTGCTGCCCTTGTTGACAAAAGATACAATACTAAACACAATAAACGTTTTATATGGTTGCTCTTGGGTAATTCGCGTTTTTACATGTTTGCGGTGGATAATATGCGAAACGAAAGCGGCCCATACATTATCAAACAAATTGTGCAACAAAGCGATGTGCAACGCTGCGTTGCACAACTGATTCAACGGACCATACATTATCAAACAAATTGCGCAACAAAGCGATGCGCATGCAACGCTGCGTTGCACAACTGATTCAACGGACCATACATTATCAAACAAATTGCGCAACAAAGCGACGCGCAACGCTGCGTTGCACAACTTATTCAACGGACCATACATTATCAAATAAATTGCGCAACAAAGCGATGCAACAATTGCACAAACTGCATCACACACGCATCTGGCAACTCATTGTGCAACAGCGTTGTGTTACACCATGTGTTGTGGTGCAGCACGTTGTGTTGCACCGTTTGTTTGATAATGTATGGGCCGCTTACACATATTCGGGTTTTATTCATTGCATTTAGATAATTCGCAATTTAACTAATTTCGCGTACTACCGGTAACATATACACTAAAAAAGAGATTAAATTGTTTTTGCGGCCAGGTTTCCCGGACGCATATTCGGAATTCGCTGACACATTAGCCGTTCGGATTAGATCGGGACCGGCGACGAACGGTTGATAAAGTACCGACGTATTAGACTAGTCCCAACCCTTATGCGTCGGTGACTTACGAAAACGAAATACTGTTAACTGCATATTGCATTACAGTATAGGTTACATATCGAGAACTGTTAGAAAATGATAAAAAATGATAAAAAATAGACTTGAACAGAAATTATCTTTAATACTAAAATTAAATACGGTGTATTCCATTTAAAATAAGAAATATGACGTCGTTTTTTTACATCGTATGGTATATTTAGCATTGACATGAAAGTGCACAAGTCTTTTGCGCAGTATAAAAAAAGGATGCTATCTGTGCTATTACTATTTATTTTGTATTAATGAAACATTAATAACATTACTGTTATTATTTAGTTTCACTGCAAAAAGCAACGTATCTAAAATTTGTTTTTATCAGTAATCTGCAATCTCAGTTTATTGGAGGCTATTTATTTATCAGGTACAGCTGGTAATGTCTTAAAATCCATGTTTTTGAATTAGCAATCTGCTCGAAATATGCTAATCACTAGAAAATAATGAAAACCAACTACAGACGATTACTGATTGGTGATAAAAATTTACGAATACACATTACAGACTCAGATCAAATTAATCCGATTTACAAATTTGCGAAAAAAGAAACAATATTTTGAGCACATCGTAAATCGCCGACGTATTAGTCTAATACGTCGGTACTTTACGCAGCACCCGAACTTTCCCGAGCGGCTAATGTGTCCGAATATGCTTCCCGGAGCTTTTCCAAATCTGGACCCTGGACATTTTAAAAATCCGGACATGCATGGGACCATGACCGGGTGCATTTCAAAAGTAGCCTACCCCTATAACTTTTTTATTTTTTAAGATAAAATGACGAGATTTGGTATGTTAGTATATGACATAAATTATGATTGATTGACATACTCAATTGTTTTCAGTTACTTCCGGTTTGACCGGAAATGACTACAACTTTTGATTTTTAAATATCACCCTCGGTATTTTTTTGCTTTATTTGATAGAAAATGACACTTTGAATAGAATGACATATCATATGTCAACTTTTGACATTTTCGCATATGGTTTATCAGAAATTATAACATGCGGTTCATAACGATAATTTGACTCGAAATACCAAGTGTGCGGTATCAAATTATTTGTAAAAAATGCTTTTTCCAAATTTGCTAATCAGCCACCCTCGTTCCATTTGAAAAAATTGAGATATGATTAAAAATACGATTTGGTCATCTTTTAACCGGCCAAGACAAGAAACTAAAAACATTAGACGATCAAATATATTTTTATCAGGCTCCGTGATTAAAAATTAGTGTCTTTAACACTTTAGATTGAAATTTAAAATACAACTTGTTTTTGAGCGAATATGTCAAAAGTTCACATATGATACGTCATTCTATTCAGAATGTCATTTTCTGTCGAATAGAGTAAAAAAATACCGAGGGTGCTATTTAAAAATCAAAAGTTGTAGTCATTTGCGGTGAAAAAGGAAGTGACCGAAAACAATTGAATACGTCAATCAATCCTAATTTATGTCATATACTAACATACCAAATCTCGTTTTTTTATCTAAAAAAAATAAAAAACTTATAGGGGTGAGCCACTTTTGAGACGCACCAGGTATAAAAATATACCTATTTGTTTAAAAATATGTGTATGAAGTATAACCCATTTTTTGAAGAAAGGTTTTTCTCAATATATAGTCTTATATGGCTGCATATTGAAGCGGTATGCTTCTAGATATTATGTCCACTGCAAAATTTTACAATCCAGAGTTCATTCTAGCTCTAACAACATGCAAACTCGCCAGAAACTTTATCCAATATCAAAATGGTTGAAGAAATATGGAGCTTATAAGATTTTTATGAATCATCCTTCTAAACTTTTTTAATACAAAATATATTGAACAAGTTATATATCCTACGTTTCTTGTTTTATATATCTCTACGAAGTGTTATACAAACTAAATCTTTACCTTATGAAAAAAGTTCCATATTATTAAAAATACAATATTGTGTTTATGTAAGTAATGACTTATTTGTTAAATTAAGTAAACTTTTTAGACTTATTATAACTATCAATTAAACAGTTTTAATCAGGGTTGGAAAAAATCATGATTTTTTTAAAAAATCAAAAAAACTAGATTTTTTTTATTTAAATCGATTTTTTTTTATTTAAATCAGATTTTTTTGATTTTAATTCAAAACAATATTTAAATCGGATTTCCAAATGACTAGAACTTATTTCCAATTAAAGTCCTATCCTAAATGGCTAAATCTTTATAACTCTGCCCGATACCGATAACATTAACAATTCTACGGCGCGTGTAATTTTTCCACATCGGTCACTAATTTATTCTACAAAAAAAGTAGCTAGCTTCAGATCAAAAGGATTTTTTTTCAAACATCTCAAAAATATTAACTTTTGTCATTTTAACGCCTAGGCATAAAAGAAAAGCACTGTTACGCCTAAGCACAAAAGTACAAAAATATACTATTAAACTGATATTAAATGTCAAATTCAAGGAGTGTACAAAATTGTTGCTCGATTACTGTTCATATTATTTGCAATGTTTGAAATTGATTAGAAAATTATTTGTAATGTTTTAAATAAATAGTATGTTCTATTCGGAGTAAAAACGTAATTTTTGTGCTTCCCCGGTAACGTTGGAAGAGTCCTTTACAGGTACAGCATCGTCAAAAAAGTATAATTTTTACTCCTAATAAAACAATATACTATTGTTCGGAAATAGTCAAGTCGAAAATGAAATTAGTATGTATTATCCTTGTATTATCTAATGCCAAAGTATAAAGTACTTACTAACTTACGAAGCATTTTAGGACACAAAAACGAAGCATTTTAGGACATTTTACTTATTTTTATCTGCAGAATATGGGGCCAAATCTGTAATTGATTGTAATTTGGACAACATTGTAAATAAAAACTAAAATATACATCTTTTTTATGCAGAATTAATTAATGGTAAAGACACATTTTTATTTTGCAAATTTGTTAATAAATAACCTCTTTAATAATAATTTTATACTATAATATGTAACTCCGCAATATATTCAATGCGATTCTGTTTAAACAACTAACTTTGTGTAAAATAAAATAAATCACCTATTTTAGATGCTTGAAAATCGAAAATAAGAGGGAAATTTTCACTTTAAAATCTATTTTAGAAGTTTTAAAACGAAAATCTAAAAAAGTAAGTTTTTAGAGAAAAATATACGGAATATCTAGAGTGTTATTAAAGTGTTTTTATTTTGTTCAAATTAATTATTTAAATTAATTGTCAACAAAAATAAAGTTTATCGTGATCCTTGAAACCTAGTTAAATATCGTGATACGTCATTTTTATTGACTTTTAGATTTGGATAAGGTTTTCCTTTTCTCCCCATATTAGTGTTTATTTATTCAGCATTTATCTCCTGACGTAGTAGTTGTTTTTTAGTCAGGGCACGTGTTCATGACAGTTTGTTAACAATATTTTATTTGTCACAAATTTGGGAAATCGATAAAGATTATCGATAAGATATGGTATACAAAGGTTAATACAAAAGTACCTTTTTTTTTCAAACGTCACAAAATTGCACCAAGACGTAAAACGATGCCGTAGTGAGGCGTTCAGTATCATATGCATCCTTGGTATGGTGGCCCTTGGTAAAGTGCGGATTACAACAGGCCTCTTGACAGGACACATGGCTGTCAAGTGTTACCTGAACAAGTTCAACCTGTATCAAGGAGGTCTTTGCTGCAGACTCTGCGATAAATATCCTGAAACAGCAGAGCACATAATACCTATGTCACTGCGAGGCTCTGAATCGCAAGGGGGTTAAAGTCTTTTTTTTTCGATTTATTATTTTAATTTACTCGAGCGTCGCGTCGGTCGGCGTCGTGGAAACCTATTGTACATATTGTGAAAATTAGATGCTAAAATTAAAGAAAGGTTATATGATGTATGTCCATTTACTGGTGGAGGGAGCGTGTACCGGTTTTCAAAAATAAAAAAAAACACAGTTACAAAGAAATATTTGGGCGTTTCAGATATAGATATTAATAGTACATGGGTCCGCACATGTTTCTGACAAAGGAAGGGGCTTGTTTGTATGTTGGGGTTGGCCATACGAAGGGGTAGAAAATGAGTAAAGATAATGAAAAAATAATTCGAGTGCGTCAGATTTTTACAAGGGACGTTAAGTACACCCTAAAAAAGCTCTTATTTAAAAGACTGATGATTTGTACGCTACCAAAACTCATTGTAGATTTTTTTGAAATACTTATACGTAGTTCTCAGCACCACACTTTATTGATGATTTTAGCTACTTCGGCTTGTGGAAATAGGCAGATTATGTTATTCCCGCAATCCTTGAATGATTCCTGGGCACTTAAAACGGACGTTATAAGGAAACTGCAGGTCGCACAACGTTCAATGGAACGAAATATGCTGGAAATAACCAAGAGAGGCTTTAAAAAATAGAGTAAATAAGACAAAAGACCTAGGTAATGGATGCCATCTACAGAATCAAGTCCCTCAAGTGGCAATGGGCAGGACACCTGGAAAGTAGACAGATAACAGATGGACTACAAAAATTACAGCATGTTATCCACGAGGAATCAAGATATCTAGAGGAAGACCAAACTTGTGTTGGGATCATGATATAAGGAAATTAGCTGGAATAACTTGGGCTTGCATAGCCAATAATAGACAACAATGGGTCCAACTACAAAGAGAGTAACTAAATATGTGAGGGAAACTCCACCATAATTGGAAATGGTTGAAGAAGCTGAAAATGATGATGATAATGATACACCAATATCAACATAGTCATGACTAAAGACTTATAGATGCAATTCAGATTGGCCGAAGAAGCAAAAAATAAATTTGAAATGAGCATTTTTCATATTTATTTTTTGCTTCTGGCAAAATTTAACCAGATCCCAACCAGGCTGCTTTTAAAATAAAGTTACTGTTTTGTTGAGTAGCGTATATGGTAAGATCGATAAGAAGACATATATTGGTAACTACTTAGACATTTTTTGCTCCACTCTAAATTACAACCTAGCTACGCTTATAAACTCTATCGTGAGAAATTCTATTATTGGTAAAATATCTGGATTTTTAAACGTTCGTATTAATGAACATAAAGATTACTTATAAACGCAAAGAACGCAACTGAAGCGGTAGTTTTTTGGAAGAACCGACGTTGTGTTTAATTGTAGAACCTGGTTATTGTCGTTAGAGATAGCAAAAAATCGCAAATTTATCTTTTCGCATCGATGTTAAAATAGCAATCGCAACCTGCGATTGGCTCTCATATGAAACTGCGATTACGATTTCTTCTATTTGCGAGTTTCAATTTAGGCAACCAGTAGTACTATAGCTGCGATTTGCGAGTTTGTTGCGAATTGCGACTTTGCTGCGATTGTGATTTTGTAAACTTGGATCGCTATTTCTATCTGCGAGTTTGAATTTGTAAGAGTTGCGATTTGCGATATTGTTGCGAATTCAATTTTGTGGTCTATTGAATAATTTTATACTAAACTGCGATTGAATTTTCTCTGTGATATTATTTATTCATAGAGAAGGTATTATTTTTCTAGGACCACGATTATAATATACCGGATGTTTTTCAAGAGTGGTTCACACCTATAACTTTTTTATTTTTTTCTGATAAAAAAAATCGAGATTTGTTACGTTAGTATAATATGACATAAAATAAGAGTGATTGATGTATTCAATTAATTGTTTTTGGCCACTTCCTGTTTCACCGGAAATTACTACAATTGATTTTTAAATGGCTCCCTTCGTATTTTTTAAATTTATTCGATAGAAAACGACACTCTGAATAGAATGGCATATCATATGGCAACATTTGACATTTTCGCTTTTTAAGCAATTTATTGAAATATCAAAAAGGTTAAAGGTATAAAGAAAATGATGAAATGTATATGAAATGAAGTAAAGTTTAAATCGATAAGAATAAATAAAAAAAAAATGAAAATGGTCTAAGCTATACTAAAACTAAGACGTCATCCCCCTTAACTTAAACTAAGTATACTCTAAGGGTGGAATACAAATAGCAAACTAAATCTAACTGATATCTAAACAGTCTTACTCTACTCGATGTGATATACTTGAAAACTTCTCGGGCTGAGCTACGGCGTATAGCTACAGGGTTGCTACGGCGGTATACAGCAGCTCGGTGTCACTGGAGCCCACAATTGACAGCAGACGTGCAGAGTAAAGGCAAGTTGTTGAGGTTTCAATTGGTGAACATAAAAAACCCTAAATAATATTGGTTGTCTTAGAAAAGAGCCTCAATTATAGAACAAGGACTAGCACAACGTGTAGGAGTTAATAAAGGTAATAAAGAAGGACTAATCAAATCTGAACTTTACCTCAACGAGGTTTAATGATGTCCAACGAGTACCTCTACACGGACAACAGGAACGGATGGAATTCTAGACTGTTCTGTGCTACGGTCTGGATCGGTCTTCTTGCTCTACAATTACGAACAACCAAATAAGATTTAAGAAAGATAACACTCAACTAATCTTTCTACACTACGTAGGCGTGGAAAAGTCGAAAACCAGTCAACAATACGAATAAAAATCAGTTGAGCCTTGACTTAGAATAGGCAGAATAATTATAGCATACCTTGGAACTCTCGGGGACTTCTTGGGCACGTGGAATCGGAATATCGGTCGGAAAATTTGGCTATTTTAATCCCATTGCGGAAATTGGTCGGCGGTCCATACAAATCAACAAAATCCAACCACGTCTCTGACCAAATGTGCTTCGGAAGCCTTAATCCTTCTCTAGGAAGACCTGTTAACTACCAACAGAGAATGCTTCACGAAACGGCAGCCAGTTCTTCACAACGACATTCGGACGGTGGGTACACAAGAATAAGTGATGCAAGCATTCGATTTCCTTCACAAAATCAGATTTCAACCGGAAATCTCCCTCCAGGATATAGATAGAGAACTATATATCTCGACTAGTCCAACTCACAAAAAGGTATAAATAAAAAACCATGTTCTAGAATATTTTCCACTGCCATATTTCATATCCGGTCAATGAACAAACTTAACTTAGAAATTCCCATAATTAAATGAACGAATCGCACACTGCGATCCACATCAAAAATAAACGATTTAACTATAAAATTTTATCTGACAATTATAAAATTTCAATAACCAAAACAAAGGATAAATAAATCCAAAAACATCTGATTTGATCTGACAGTGACAAGTGACGGACAGGTGATATCAAAGATAAAGAGAGATGGACAAAATTCTAATGCTGGGTGGCATCCAGTGACAATGTTCTGTGGCTGTATAATATCGCGGTATATATCGGGTTGCATAATCGTAAAATTTTAAATAAAATAATATTTAGCAATAAAATTATAGTAAACATGATGCAAAAATAATAGTTATTTGCGATAATTTATGAGCTAGCACACAGAGGTCGTAGCGAGGAAATTTGACTGTTACATAGTATATTGTTTTTTATGTCGTGTCTTGGCCACTTAAAAGAATTGTATTTTTAATCATATCTCAATTTTTTCAAATTGAACGGGGGTGGTGTTATTATTATTATATTACAGTGTAATATTTAGCAAAAGCATTTTTTACCAATAATTTAGTACCACACACTTGTATTTCGAGTCAAATTGTCGTTATGAACCGCACGTTATAATTTCCAATTAAACCATATTATGTGAAAATGTAGAAAGTTGATATGATATGTCATTCTATTCAGAGTGTCTTTGTCTATGTGGCCAGTATTACACTATCAAATTTCTTTGTCAAAGATCTTTTATAAAAGATATTTGATGAAAAAATTGACATGTTAATATACAATATTTTATAAAACAGAATTGAATACAAATCAATTGAATACGTTAATCAATTCTGATTTATGTCATATACTGTTACAGTCGCTGAGATTTAAAGATCGCAATCGCAGTTTCAATTGCGACTGGAGAGTCCCAGTTTCGCTCAACTCTAATTGCCGTACAAGATTTTGTTATTAATTTTTGTACATTTAAATTAATTGTGCAATCATTTCTTCATTTATTTATAATTTTCACATTTTTATTAAAGAAAAAAAATTAAAAGGACAAAACACATATTATATTTTGATTCCTAGACGTGCGGGAGCTGCGTATAAAAATATTAAATCCACATTTTCCGCTGTATTGTTTAAATCGCTTATTTCCAATTTCCAATTATAAATAGAACCGAGGATCATCACCATTCAACAAGCGTTACCCACCGTTTTTATTTTTCCAAAAAATTCGCGTGGAAGTTCGTTACAGCTACAGCCACAGTCAATTAACTAAATTCGATAAATCAACTGTGCCCAATTTGATTATGAGACGATATTGCTAATTTCTGTGGCCTGAAAAGTTTGATTTTGTCACGGTTGATACTTAAATTCAGTGTTTTCGGCGAAAAATATTGAGATTTGTTTCTCAGTGTTAAGGTTTGAGGTTAAAGTTATTTTTGGAACGTTTCTGGGTCAAGTTTTACGCGTCTGTATTTGTTATAATTTAGATAAAATATGAATTTTGTATCGAATGTTTTTAAAAAAATTGTTCTGGTAAGTAAAAATTTCTAGTTAACTTTTATAGAAAAAAATATTATTTTAATAATTTTATTAAACAAGGGGGTACGAACTGTATTCCGAAAATTTCGACAGCATATTCTGCAGATAAAAATAAGTAAAAAAGTTCGTATAAAGGTATGTCTTAAATTGTCTAGTTTTGAAGATACAGGGTGTAAAAGTCTCATTTTTATTTCGATTTTTTCCAAATATGTAATTTTTGAAGTAACGTCAATATTTGAATGAAAATTGGTGTCTGGGAGTTTTGTGACATGAGCTATTTGATTTTGATGTGTCAATATGACTCCTATTTGTAGGGAGTGCCACTTACATGCGTTTCAATTGTTTTGAAAAGTAATAACTTTTCGTTCGTACCTGTCTAAAACTACTGAGTGAAAAAATATACATTTCCTTGATATTTTACGTAAAAATACCTTTTGGTAAAAATTGCTACGAGCAACCGTTCTCAAGATATTTAAAATGGAAATAGTCAATACATTTCATTATTGCCAAAAAAATAAACAAGTTGAGTAGATAGTTATTTAACTGAAATGATAAATTTGGAAACTATTTATTTTTTTAAATTAGTGATAAATTTTTCTTCGAAAAAATCATGATAAAACTGTTTCTGTTGAACTTTTACCACTATTTCATTTCAAATTTATGATTTCGGTTCAATAACTATTTAGTCAACATGTTTAATTTATGTCAATGATGACAGATAACTGTTAATTTCGATTCCAAATATCTGGAGGACTAGTAGCGATTCTCACCAAAGACCTTTTTTAAGTAAAAAACGTCGTAAATGTATATTTTTATACTCAGCAGTTTTATACAGGTACGGACGAAAAGTTATCACTCTTCAAACTAGTTAAAAATATGTAGGTGGCGCCCTCTACAAATAGGAGTCATATTGACATTACTTCAGAAATTATTTGGAAAAAATCAAAATAAGAATGAAACTTCTACACCCTGTATCTCAGACACTAAGCATTTAGGACATACATTTATACGAACTTTTTTACTTCTTTTATCCGCAGAATGTGCTGCCGAAGTTTCCGGAATACAGTTCGGACCACCCTGTATACAACTATCAGAGAAGATAGAAACTGAATTGTTTTTAGTAATAGTACTTTTCTATGGTTGTTATTAGACTGAAATTATAAATTTGAAGGTGCCCGGTGGCGTAGAGGTACAGGCTCTCGTCTACCAGGTGTGGGTTCGAATCCTACACCCGGCATTTCATCAGCCGACTATTTTTATTAAAATAAAAATAGTTTGGGTACCTAGGTCGACCCAGCCTTAAATGAGTACTTGGGATTCACAATCCTGAGGTTCAATAGGCGGTTGAAGCGTAGTGCTAACCAGATTACCTTTCTTGTATACCGAACGGCTCTAGCATGGCAAGCTGTACCTTGCTACTCCCAAGGCGTTAAACACTATACACGGGAGCTATTATTATTATTATTATTATACTTTTCTATGGTCGGTGTCTTCGTATTATAATTATTATTTATACTTTTTATATTTCTGTTACTCTAAAAATATATTTGCCTTGTGCAAGGCAATTAACTGAATATCATACAAAAAGCAAAATATCGAAATTTTATTGCCGCAGACGCACTATTTTTTTTAATAATATGATAGTACCTATAGTACATCTAAAGTCAGTTGCAATGGTTTGAGACTCTTCATTTTGGCATTGCCTTAAGCTTGATTTTCATGCATCCGTTGTCCGACGATACGATGATACGATATTAATTTTATTGGCTGAATTTAAAGGCTTCGATTTGTTAACCGTTTCTAACCAATCAAAGTCTTCAAATCCAACCAATAAAATTAATATCGTATCATCGTATCGTCGGATAACGGATGCATGAAGATCAAGCTTTAGTCGGCACATCTGCAGAAATAGTTTAAGGGTACCAAAGCAATCTGATTGACTTTGGAGATACTATACAAACCTTCCGTTTTAATCAATAGTGACATGCATTCTTCATTTTTATAATACATCCTGTATATTTTATGGAATGTTAATATAAGACTTGTCCAACGAGTAAGGGACAGACAGTTTCGACAGACGACATCCAAAATATGACAAAGAATTTACGTATTTTAATTCATTAGAGAAGCTTTAAGCCTCATTCAGAGCCTCGCAATTAGTGGAATAAATTAGTGGTTTCAATTACACTTTATACTTTTTAGTTTACGATCATTCACAATGTGTAAAAAACACAATTAAATTAATAGAATATCCTAACAACAGCTTGTGGTAGTCAGTTGTATCCATAGAGAAAGCCCAATATTTAGCTTTTAAAATAATCAACTTTTGATTTTTAACCATAATTTCTCTTTACGGGTGATAATCAAAGGCGAAAATGACATTTCTCGCAAATTTTTAAGTATAATTAGTGGAAATGTTAAAAGTTTGTTAACCTTGAAAAATTAAAAGTTTGTTTACCTACTAGAAAATGACATCTGCTAATTTTGGCGTTCTGAATGCTTACAATGAAATTAAAGGAACAGACTTCTATGCTAATTGGAAATTGGAACCACTAATTTATGCCACTAATTTGGAGATTCTGGTATTAAAAATTAAAACGCGTTTCCATGGTAATATAATTTCGATTTAATTCTTTGATAGATGGATATTATTGGATATTATTCGTCACATATTTTCAGGTTTTGTTGTAGCAATGTAGTGTGAGATGTGTTGTAGAAATATTTGTAAACAAATTCTTGCCACAATCATTGCAAAACGAATGGAAACGTTGTAGTAATATTACTATAAAAAATTGTAGTAAAATTTGCTTATTGTTGCCGTAGTAATTGAAATCGTTGTCGGGCAGGTTGTGACAATTTTATAAAGTCATCATTAGGAGAAAGGAGAATTATGGCGGACGTGTACTATAGGTGTGGAATTTGTGATCGTGCTGTAATGGCAAATCAAACATCAATTGATTGCGCTACATGTTGTGCTTGGGCCCACAGGGTATATTCCGGTCTCGGAAAAGTGGAGTGTAACAAAATTGTTGCCAAATTTGGGAAAAATAAGATTCATAAGTGGGACTATAAACAGTGTAAGGGAGTCAGGGGGTCTGAGGTTAGGAGACACAATTAAATGCAAAAATTTTCTCTGCAATGTGTGGTAGTGGTTAAGAGTGTATTGTAGTAATTATTACTACAAAAATATTTAAGAATTGCCGATAAGCAATTTAGATTCCATTACAATTTGTAGTTTTGGTTAAGATGTAATTTTTACTGTAATGGAACGGAAATATTGACGACATGCAGATTACATTTTACTACAATCTTTGAGGAATTATTACTTGGTATGCAGTTTATGATCTTAAATACTTCCTTCATAACCTTCTACAAAACTATGAACTACTTTTGCAACTTTTTAACTACAAAAATACTAAATGTTGTTACAACCTGTATTTGGCCCATTATACCACTACAGTTTGCAACAAACGATTTTACAATAATTGTAGCATTATTTTAAACATTTTTTTCCGTGTATGTAATGTTGACATTACCGACTTTTAAAAATTTTGAAAATTGTTACACTATCTATCTTTATTTCCCCTTTCTATTTCCCTCACTCATTCATCTCCCACTTCTGCTTAGTCCTATGATACAATATTTTAAAAAGAATATTTTTGTTTTTAAAACTGTAACTATGTTTATAACAAATTTTACAAAAAACTTTTTATGAATGATTCACTTTAAACATATATTTCAGGGAGACTCAAATTCCACAGTTGCAGAAACTAAAAACCAAGTACTTCTAGGTAAGTGATTTATATTGTCCACTAATTTATTTTCTTCCATGTTCAATTACTGACAGTTTCATAAATTCGCCGTATCCAGAGAAACGATTAATTAAAGTATATTTTTGAGTTTGAAAAATGTATAGTAGTCTAACAGTCCAACACAGATAGAATTTAATAAAATATATATTAGTAGTAGTTCAAAGTAGCTACCTACAATAATTCAATAAAATATCGTATCAAAAATATATTTTCATTAATAAAAAATAGAAATAAATATAATAATTAGGTACAGAGTACAGAGCAAATATCAATATTTATTTGAAAAGGAAGAATATTTAATTTAACGAAACCCAATAATAAATCAAGTATTTTTAATTTCCATTTGGTGTTTGTTTAATATTAATAGTACAAACATTAATTATTAACAATAAAAAGTTTAATTTGTAAATAGTAATAATACAGTATGATCGAAAAAAAACACGAATTTTCATTTGAGTTGGAAATAACGATCGATGATATACACCATATAATTTGGCATATAACATGACAAAGATTTTTTATTATATTGTATTATATGTTACCGCTAAAATTCATACTTGACTAGTTTTAAAATGAACCAGTAATTTTGAGAATTTACTAAAAGCATTGTATTTTTGAAGAAAATATTTTTGTTGTTAAAAAACTGTACCTTCATTTATAACAAATTTTACAAAAAACTTTTTTATGAATGATTGACGTAAGAATGTGCAAAATAGCAAGTTCGAGTTTCAAATCTATCTACACTCACAGATCCAAAAAAACGCAACGGAAAAATATTTCGTCCAATTTAAAGAGTTATATTTTTTAATTTTTATCCTTATTTTTATTAATTTTTTAGCAAACTGTGTATACAGGGTATCCCAGAAATAAGTGCAAGTATTTTAAGGGGTGATAGATCTGGTCAAAAGAAACATTTTTTCTCTTTACCGTTTTTCAAATAAATCCAAAATAACCGAGTTATTTTAGTTTGAAAATTTCCTAAAAAAATGATTTTTTGTTAAAATTTTGAGAACCACTGGATCTTTTCTGGATTTTCTTTCATGTAAATTTAAGCTACTACCTATGTTGCCATATTATCAAGAAATTATGATTTTTTACTTAAAACTAAAGAAATTTCCAAATTTTCAATTTTTTTTTGCAAATAATACCTCATAGGTGTGTTTCTGAGCCCGCAATATACTACCAGTTAAAATACTTGCACTTATTTCTGGGACACCCTGTATAAATAATATCAACTTTAATTCTTAAACTCAGTTTTTTATAAACTGTAGTATTTCGTTTATTATACAGGGTTAATCGAAGGGTTGTTTTTACTCTAGTTTTGAAACATCCTGGTGCAATAATACTTTCGTGAGTAAATTTTACTAAAATATTATATTTCGGTTAGAACACTACCTTCTGAGCATTTTGTTGTTTGGCTCATGTCAACACATGCCTTGGTTAATTTTTAAGAGCAAAATGAACTTAACACCAACAATTTTCATATTTTTCAATTATCATTACTTGTTAAGTATTGTACTGTCACACTGACATTAAGTATACCTACAATTCGACGAACTGTAAATACACTCGCATTCTTGACTCGAAACTCTTTTGATGTCGATATTTATTGTTTGCTCCCTTGTAAAATGATGGTCCCGCAAAGCATTTATTTAGATATAGGTATCGATTTCTGTCTGTTTAAAAAACAAAATAAAAACACTAAATCACCACAATACACCAAAACACTTTTACTTTTACACTGGACGCGCGTTTCGCTAACCATGTTAGCATCATCAGCAGATGATTATAAACTGCAACAGTTTATAATCATCTGCTGATGATGCTAACATGGTTAGCGAAACGCGCGTCCAGTGTAAAAGTAAAAGTGTTTTGGTGTATTGTGGTGATTTAGTGTTTTTATTTTGCTGTGTAACACCAAAGGTTCCAACCCTCAACTGTAATCTTCTGTCTGTTTGTCAAAACCATCTAAAACGTTCTACTACCCTTTAGATTGTATAGCGATGAGTATATATTACCCTAGTCACATATTCATAATTTCGCCTATTTTCAACAAGAGCAACGGCTTTTGTACAGTCTTCAACAGTAAAAAACATACTTATTCAGTCATAAGTATAAAGCCACCTCGTCATATTAAAAAATAAAATCAAAAAGAAATGATAAAATTGAAAAAAATACGACCTGTTGGTGGCAAGTTCATTTCGCTCTTAAAAATTAACCAAGGTATGTGTTGACATGAGACAAAAAACAAGATGTTCAGGAGATATGGTTATGATCGCAAAATAGTGTTTTAGAAAAATTTGCTCACAAAATTATTGCGCAGGGTGATATAAATTTAATGTAAAAAACAAATCTTTGATTAACCCTGTATAATAAGTCAAATACTAAAGTTTATAAAAAACTGAGTTTACTAATTAAAGTAGATATATTTATATACAGTTTGCTAAAAAAATTATAAAAAGAGGGATAGAAATAAAAAGATCTAATAAAAACGGCGTCAGCGGTGGCTATGAATATGACGATCGATGACATTTCCCATATAATTTTACATATAAAATGACAGCGATCTTCATTTCATAGCCATCGCTGACGCCGTTTTTATTCGATCATACGGTACGTTTTTAACGAAAAATGTTGTTTGCGTTTTTTTGCGAGGGATGTTTCACTACTGGAATTACATGTACATTTTTTTGGCAGTCGCTGGCAGTTTTACTGCAGCCTTACGGCAGTCGCCTATAATAATAACATGGCAGTCATAGGTCTTCTTCACAGTCATGGGCAGTAACTTGGCAAGATGATATTTTGGCAGTACATGGTGTCCCATTTTGGTTGAAATCTTACAGTATCTCCGTTATTAGTGAAGATAGAAGGGTGCGGTTTGCACAAACCTGTCCCACTTTTTTGTCAAACGGAAAATGCTGTCAACAAAATTTTCATAGCCCTCTTCGTTTCTGAGCTACAGGGTCTTTTCGAAAATTTTGCAATTTGGGACAGCCCCCGTATCTCTGTAATTTTTAAAGGTATCGAGAATGTAAAAACTGATTCTTGTAGAACTTTTTACGTAGAATACAGTGGCGTAGTCTGTTTTTTTTTACGAAAAAATATTTTTGAAAATATATACTAAAGATATGTTTTTTCAAATAGAACACCCTGTATATTTATAAATCATATCATCCGTCCTGCTATAAGGTTCTCAAAAATATATATCACTCTATATTTATTTTCACTATTTACTGCAATATTTAAAATATATATTTTTATATTAGTAGGCCGTGATAAATAACAAAAAAAAAATTAAAATGGTATTTACTAAAGTATTCATACATATCATGATCATCATGTAGCCATCGTTGTCCACTGCTGAACGTAGGCCTCCTCCATGTTTCTCCATGTCTCTCGATTTTGGGCCGTCATCATCCAATTTCCAGCAATCCTCTTTACATCATCGGTCCAGCGTGTCGGTGGTCTGCCTCTGCTACGTTTATCTGCTCGAGGTCGCCATTCTAACAATCTTCTAGTCCACCTGTCTTTAGATGTTCTCGCCACATGATATGATTAAAATTTTATTTGGGATTGATATATTTTACTTTTGGACTGTTACCACTGAATCTCTGAATATATTTTTCTCTTTTTTATAATGGAATTTATTATCTAAACGCTTGCATTATTAAGGCATTTTTAGGTGTTCGACATTGTTGTAGTTGCGACGATATATTTCATATTTCAAAAAAATTTGAAATCAGATATCGAGAAGGGACAAGTCCGGGAATCAGGGTGGCCATCATATGGGTCCATTGGTTCCAATTTATTGATTTGAGGAATAATAATTTAACAAAAATTCTAATATTTTCAGTGTTGTGAGGGGGAGCCCCATCTTGGTCATCTTGCTGAAAGTATATTTCTCGTAAATTAGCTAAATAAATATCTAAAAGTTCCGGTACGATAGCTTCCAAGATTTACGAATAGCGGTAGAGAGTTTCCCCAATATAAATATGAAGAATTTATTAGTGGCTCCCAAAATAAAACACGAGACAGATAGCAGTATACTTTTAATAATTCTTTAGTTTCTTTTATTATCAATCATGACCTACTAATAAATATGATCTTTTAAATATTGCAGTAAATAGTGAAAGTAAATATAGAGTGATATATATTTTTGAGAAGCTTATGGCAAGCCAGATCATATAATTTATAAATATACAGGGTGTTTCATTTAAGAAAACATAACTTTAGTTTACAGTACATCTGCTGGATCTGTGTCTATGAAAGGAATGCGGACAAAAAACATTTAAATAAACAGCAATATATTTTATATGTCGATTTGACGAGTGCGTCACCGCAAATCGCTCCGCCCACTCATTTTATTGGCTACTTGCAAATTTGTTGAATTTTTATTGATGGGACGCGTCGTCTATTTTTTTACGAAAAACATCGAGAGAATATCGTTTCCCCTCTCACGGATACCCCGTAGCTACAGAACGGACAGACGTAATGTATATTATATCTTTCAAAATATTCTTTTCGTAGAATAACAGACTACGCCCCTGTATTCTACGTAAAAAGTTCTACGACAAACAGTTTTCACCTTCTCGATACCTTTAAAAATAACAGAGATACAGGGAGTGTCCCAAATTGCAAAATTTTAAAAAGACCCTGTAGCTCAGAAACGAAGAGTTTTTTTTTTATCATTTGATAAAAAAGTGGGACAGGTTTGTGCAAATCGCACCCTTCTATCTTCACTAATAACGGAGATACCGTATGATTTCAACTAAAATGGGACACCCTGTACATGTACATTTTTTACACTAGTGAGACATCCCTCGTTTTTTTGCATCTGAATGTAGTTAGTAAATAGAATGTTTGTAAAACCTGATTAAAATTGTTTTTATTTCACTCTACTAAAAGTCAATTTTTTTTAATTAAATATTTTTAAAATAATAAGTGCTATCAAGATTTAAACGAAGATCATAAAACTTTACTGTTGAAAACTATGCAAGGTGCACTCTATGCATAATAAAATTATGTTACAAAACTTTGCATAATTAATAATTAACTTTAACAATAACGCTGCTCGATTAATGCATGTACATATTTGGAGAGCTACAAGTGCTACAAACCTGGAAGTTTTCAGTTTTTTAAAGTCGAGTTTAAATATCGTTTTACACGATGGAAACTTTAAGTTTCAGGTGAAAATCGAGAAGAAGATAATGAAACTGCAGAAACTTTATCGGAAAAAGATGATGTTAGGTAAGAGAGTTTGAAAAATTTCATTTCGAACATTGTTTAGAACAAAAGTTTAATAACTTGCGCTATAAAGCCTGTCTAGATAGTCTTTAGGCAGGTTCATTATAGATCACTCTAAAATAACTTTATGATTTAAAAGATTATTTAAAAAAGGGATACATTTACAAATTACACTCAAGGATGATTATCTGGCATTATCTGAAGAATATGCATAAAATATTAGATCGATTTTTATAATTGACTGCTAGTAAGAATTTTTGCTATACTGACGTATATACAATGAAAGTCTTCTATGTATAAGTGGATATTTTCAGTGGTGGGTACGGTTTCGATCCCAGAAACACGTTTATTTTATGAGGTTTTTTCGCAAAAATGATAAAAATTATGTATTTTCCATAGACTTAAAATTTAAGTCTATGGTATTTTCTTTTAAACATTCCTGTATATTTTAGAAAACTTTTTAAAACTGCCTGTTTGCCGAAAATATTTCCCCAGTATAATTTGTTAATCTCTGATATTTCTATGGTTCACAGCAATAAAGGGATGCAAATACAGAAAAAAATCGGTGGCTCTCAAAATTTTTTAAAAATGGATAATTTTTTAAAATTTTCCAACTTGAAAAACTCGGTTATTTTGTATTTATTTGAAAAACGGTGAAGAGAAAATATGGTTCTTTTACCGAGATCTACCAGCCCTGAAAATATTTGCACTTATTTAAGACTTACTCTGTATTATAGTCTGTCCCACGATTCAGGGAATAACTCGACAGACGACATCCAAATAATGACAGAACATACAATTCTTTATGAATTAAAATTACGGACACAACTGTCACTGTCATGGATCCTTTCGTTGAACAGACTATAGCAATATTATCTACAGTTATCATAATATATGGACTTAATAACCCTTCAAAGTTCTAACAATTGGTAGTAAACTAATAAGGCATCGTTTTAAGTTCTCGTTCATGTAACCTGCTGAAAATAAACCACAATTTCCTGCAATATCTATTACGACATTCACTCCAATTAGTGTACCACAAAAGCTTTATTTTCAGTAGTTCGCAGGATAGGATTCCCGCTGAGAATTCCATTGCAATGCAAGAAAACGACCCGTTTTACGAAGCCAATTCCACCTCAACAGCTTTTCCTTTAGAGGAAAATCTAACTAAAGACAGCGTTTCAGATGTTAATATTCCCGAAAATTGCAGTTATGGCTCTTTGGACACATCTAGTAAGTTTATTTCAATTAAAAATCATCTATAAGTTTCAGTTTTCCAATTTTGATTTTTTTAAATTTAACCATAAACCATATTTATTCTAAAAATAATCATATTAGCCCAATAACTTTTGCTGAATTTTTACAAAAGAATCAAAAATAAATTAGAGGGTCGAAAGTATTGACGCAGTGTTTCTACAATATTATAGTCTTGCCCATATTTTAATATGTGAATTGCCCGCCATCTTGGATTTTATGTTTTTTTTTGCGATTTGCATATTTCGACAAAATAGGTTACGAACAAATTACTAAGAAATTAAATTCTTCATAATTTTATAAACAGTTTTACAGAAAAATTATTATTTTTTGCTATTACTTTCCAGAAGTTGTAATAATTATGGGTTGATCGTAGTTTTTCTAATAAAAATAAGTGACATATTTAAATGACAATCAATCTCCATAATTTTTGTATAATATATTTTCGTACGGCGGGCAATATACAGGGTTGTTCACCACATACGACACGGAGTAATGTAGCTAAACGGTTAGATTTTTACAAATTGTAAGTTTTGGGTTCGTTGAAGGACTATTAGACTACACTCTGTATCTTATAAAAATATTTTAAATTGTAGCTCAAATGGTCCTTTAACGAACCCAAAACTTACATTTTGCAAAAACTAATCGTTTAGCTACAATACTCGAATACTCCGTGTCGTATGTGGTGAACAACCCTGTATAATTCACGACTGGGAACGCAGTGAACATTGTAGTATGATGTGTGATATAGTACAGGAGAAGAGATTTAAAACTCATTCCAACACTAATATGGACAGTCGTTTTAGTCGCGAATCTCACTACAACGTACCGTTACCGTCACGTCGAGTCACCGTCTCGATATAAAACATGAAGTAAATGGGAGAGAGATGTTGCCACGACGTGACGGTGACGTTACGGGTAGTGTAAATATGTTCATTGGTGGCCATTTAAGGAATAATAATATAATAACCAAGACAACATACCGAATATGCAAGCACTAAACACAATACCTCGGTATAACAGCATCGATGTATTAGATATCCCAATAACGGAACAGGAAATAAAGGCCTCCATAAAACAACTTAAAAACAACAAATTGGCTGACTGTGACGCAATTCCAGCGGAAATCTATAAGTGTGCAAGTAAAGAACTTATTGGTCATCTTAAGGCCCTCTTCGATGTATTATGGGAAAGCGGAGAGGTACCTCAGGACTTCTGCAACGCGAATATAGTAAATATATTTAAGGACAAAGAAAGTGCATCAGATTGCAGAAACTCCAGAGGAATTTCACTACTGCTTATCGGAGGAAAAGTTCACGCAAAAATTATGTTAAACCGCCTTCACCCACATATAGAAAAAATCCTCCCAGAATCACAAACGGGCTTTCGCACCAACCCTGGTACCGTTGATTCCATATTCTCCGTCCGCCAACTACAGGATAAAGTAAAGGAACCGCAGAGTAAACTTTATGGTGCATTCAACGACCTCACGAAAGTCTTCGACTCTGTTAACAGAGATGCACTTTGGGCAATTATGCAAAAGTTCGGAGTGCCAAACAAATTTCTTGCTTTGTGTAAAAGCCTCCATAACAACAAGTCGAGAGTGTCACATCGTGGATCACTGAGCGATCCATTCCTGACAAATACAGGAGTTAGGAAGGGATGTGTCCTAGCTCCTCTCCTATTCAACATATTCATAGCAGCGCTCTCTATTATAGTGGACAGCAAACTGCAGGAAAGAGGAATGGGTGTTAGACACAGGTATGACGGCGCCGGCGCGGCGCGGCGGTCTGTTCAACATAAAAAGACTCAGGGCAAAAACACGTATAAAATCACAGAACTCCAATACGCTGATGACTGCGCTCTAGTTGCAAATACTTTACAGCAATTACAGGAAATGCTGAACACATACCTGGGCATACGAGACTTTGGGCCTTAAATTGAACATCGATAAAACTAAAATCATGTGCACTCCCCCGGCAAATCATAACAGCGCTATAAAAAACAGAGAAGAACTATTGTATCGGAATTTAATTACCTCGGCAGTTTGATTTCGGAAAAGGCAAATATCGACTCTGAAATTCAGCACAGAATCAGCAGCGCCTCAAGATCATTCTGGAAATTAAAAGATAAGGTTTTCTACAATCATGACTTGAGCACAAAAACGAAACTTGCAGTGTATCGAGCAATAATAATCTACACCACGTTATATGGTAGCGAAACCTGGGTGCCGTATCGCCGCGCCGCCACAGTGTTCAAATTTGATGAAAACTTGATCAAAATTGATTACGTACAAACTGTAAATCATATTGCACCAATTTAAACTTTTTCATTACTTTTTTTATTGCAAATAGTCTATAGCAGTCATATGTCAATTATAATAGTATAAAAGTCTGGCAAGGGAACTTCACATTTAACGACACAAAAATCTCACTTGGATAAAATTGCTGTTTAACTTCCAGTATTTTATGGTAGGGAGGATAGAGATCAAACCCATGTTCCTTCGCTCCGCGTCTTAAATCTTTGTATAGATCCACTGTCATATTTTTTGAAATAATTAGTGACAACGCTTCTTCTAAAGAATAGCGAGACAGAGGAACATTAGAAGATTTTTACCAGCATTCCAGAATTTTAGTTGCTCTTGTGGGCGTGGTCATAGTTGCCAATCTGTTACCAATTTTAAAGCAGAGACGTTTCCCTCTTCACGCAATTTCATGGACGCAGCAAATGATAACTCGGCTGCTGTATTTTGCCGTCGAATTTCTTCGGTCTTTCTACGTTTACTAACGTCCGAACTTTCAACAAATGTTTCGGCCGACCTGCTAAAATAATATAAAATTTTAGAGTTTTTCCCTATAGATAAATAATTATTTTGCATATTTACTACCACTTGTAGATGCAGAATAACCAGGTTGCAGAATAACCAGCAAGTTGTTGACAACGAAATAGTTCATCGCGAAATAAAACATCAACCTGTAGCCAATCTGCATACCTAGACAATAAATTTCTATCTTTCCTCCCAGCAGCTTTCCATTTTGCTAAATATTGCGGAAAAAACAATTGCCTCATGAAGTTATTGAGAGCGTTAGTTGCAATTTCATCTCTGTTTGTTCCAAAATGATCTCTTAAAAAGTCCAAAACATGAATTTTCCTCATAGAGAAATCTTGGCCAGGTATTTCCTTTTTTCATGTAGATGCAGACGTGTAATTGCCATAATGAACAAATGCCAAAAATAAAACCACACACTTTAAAACAATATATTTCTTGACTTACCACACCGCAAAGTAACACAAACTAAACTTATGACTACACTGAACACCATATAATAAAAACTAAATACTGGCCGCCCGCCGCATTTTTCCGTTTCCTATACGGCTAGCGCAACCGATTACGTTAATCGCATAGGAAATGGACTCGATACCTGCAACTCCGTTTACTAAGTGGTCATCGCAACCCATGCAAAGAAGCACTTACAATGAACTTTCTAGGTATGCTCTATTTGTAGTCACTTAGGACACAGAAAATGGGATACTCAATATTACTTGTAACCACTACACTATAACAAAACTCTAAGAATTAAGGTTTAAACAATTTAATTTGACAATTAATCAAATAAATAAAGTTACAAAAATATTATTCCAACAATGAAAATCATAATAATTCCATTCATTGATTTATATAGGGTGGATTGCGATAATTGTAATGCCATGTACGTATAGATCAAACAGGTAGACATTTAGATATAAGGATTAAAGAACATATAAAATCTATTAATAATCTCCAGCAAAGTTCCGGTCTAGCAACCCATATTAAATAGTCACACAGTTAATGAAAACTCAATTAAATGCTTAAATTACCCAGAATAGTTAGAAATATTAAAATCAGCTAAAAACGACAATAATGTAAACGACCAACGAGGATTTCTAAACACATTTTTTATTACCTCTATTGTAAACTCCTTAAATCCACCACCATAACAAATATATTATATATCCTTAAAATGTAGTCAGACGGTTAGTTTTTAAAGGATTCTTAAAAATGTCTAACTAAGTTACACTTTTTAATTTTTTTTTTGATACATCTAAAATCGTGTTTTATTAAAATTCTAATATTTCAACGATGTTTCACAAGGAACCAACCACCGACTCAGCACTCTAGCACTATTTATTAAAAAAAACAGATTGACATATCAACCACGTCTTAAAGCTGTGTTGCCGAACTGCCTTGCCAATATTAGCATATAAAACGTTAAAAGTTACCTATTAGATTTATCTCTCAATTATGTTTTTTTTAAAATCCAGAATAAAAATATCTCATTATTAATTTAAATTTATTAAATTTAACACCTATGCAGGTCCACCTGTCATAATAATAATATAATGACTCATTATAATAATATCATTTGCATTGGTTGCGTTAACCACTTAGTAAACGGAGTTGCGGGCTTCGAGTCCGTTTCCCATGCGATTAACGCAATCGGTTGCGCTAGGCGTATAGGAAACGGAAAAATGCCGCCCGGCCGCGTGTAAACATGTTTGGCACTCAGCGCAAATGAATCCATCTTGCAGCCTGATGCGCACCTTTGCGTAGGTAAAACAAAATGTTCCTAAATTCCTTAGATTATAGGCTTTTATTTAATGTATAATTTATTGATGAGCAAGAACTAGCAATAAACATAAAAGGCCAATAAAATGACATTTCTTCAAAAAGTGAATTGGGTTATAGGCAGCGAATTATACCTGAAAGGAAAAGCGACCTTCATTATAGTATTTAGGTTATTTAAATCCTTAAAATATGTACTTTTTCCTGATATAATTACATTTCCATGAAAATTCTACCTGTAGCGGCTAACGCCGAAGCAAAAGAGAACATTTCAATGCCAAAATATGCTGTATAGAATTGTTATTATTTTTTTAGCTTTTGCTCATAAAGATCTTCAGTCATGATAAAGCCATTAAAGCAATGCTTGGTTAAAAGTTGTAAAATGACGTAAAGAAACATATACATAAATTTGACGGTTCTCAAACAAACTAAAAATTTTCAATTTCGATCGGTTTTTTGCAAATTTTGAACACTGTGGCCGGCACATGAGTGCATTAAACAAGTTGCCACAGAGACACCTTAGACAACTGTTAAGAATCAAATGGTACCACCACGTCTCAAACGTATCAGTCCTTGAAAAAGCAAGCTACGAGAGCGCTGAATCATGATTACTAAATCTCGCTTAAGATGGGCTGGTCACGTATGCAGGATGCAAGAAAACCGCCTACCGAAATCTCTTCTTTACGGTGAACTTGTAGAGGGTAAGAGGAAACCGGGTGGTCAACTCAAAAGATACAAGAATGTTTTTCATGAAAACTTAAAGGGGATAAGTATGCAGCATCAGTGGGAGGAAGCAGCGCAAAATAAAACGCAATGGAGGAGAATTGTAAATTCAGTTATTGTATAATAACGACAACCAAAAAGTAAAGAGGCAACAAAGTAATGAGATTTTTCAATGTCCGGAGTGCGGAAAAGAGATAACATCACGTATCGGGGCTTTTCAGTCACAGAAAGGCTCATGACAGAAAACGCCTTGCGTAACCATCTTCTGATGCGTGTCAAATACTCGTCAGCGACTAATGGCAGTAAGTAAGTAAGTAATTTAAGGAATATTTGGCTGTGGTGGCGGTACGTTATAGGGTTTGTTCCCACAAGCATCCAAACCGGTCAGAAACTTGTCAAATGTAGTACAATAAATAAGATGAAATGTGGTATAAAATAAAATTGTTATAAAAGAAATTAATAAAACCCATCAAAATAGGAAATCCAGACCAACCCATTTTTATCCACAGTCACAATACCTTTCAAAGAAAATTTAATTTAAATCTAGTGGTTAATTTAAATATTGCCACTACTGATCCCAGACTCAACCGCTAGTTGCAGCAGTGAAACAGAAAAATAAAATAGAAATGATCAGAAAGTTAGAAAAACACGTCTATGTATTTTTTACACTTTATGTTAATTAATAACCGCAAATACTATTTTTTTTAGAAAATTACTTATACAAAAGTTGTATAAACTTTAGTTCTCTGCAAATATAGTCATTAACTGTTTAACTGTTATGGCAATGTAATATTTTTAGAGTAATCTCAATGAAATGAAGGTTTCAGGGGAAAACCATGATTATCACCATTTTACTAATTTTACAGGAGAGCCCTGGACGGCTGGTGGTTATCAGGTCTAGTTCTTTCCGTGTATTCTTTATTTTTAGGTATATAACATAGGATTTAACAACTTATTGCCCTGCAATATTTATACATTTTATAGGGACCAGTTAGACCTGCTATATATTGTAAAATCTTAAAATTAAGAAATTGGCGCTTATCACCGGTACTTATGTATAGTACGAGTATTTAAAAAAATGCAACTCAAATATAAAAATTAGTGTGTATTGACACTACAGGGTGTCCCACTAAGAATAGCTCTCGGTTGTATCTCGGAAAGTATTAGTCGTAGAGCTTGCGGAAAAAAAAAATATTTATAACTAAAGAGAGCATGAGAAATTGCTGGAAATAATTTTCAAGTCTTTAGAGCGGCCACTAGAGGGCGCAACTGCTATTAAAAATAAAAAAAAGGAGTTTTTACACAATTTTGCCTAGATAACGGATACTATAAATAATAGATTCATAATCTTCATTAATTTTTGCATATTTTTTGTTAGAACCGAGGTTAGAACCATTTTCCGCTATCTGACAAAAGTGGTGGGGGAAGGTTAGATTTGTTTTTATTTAAACATTAATATCTCCGGACTGGATGAACAGAATCTAACAAACGGGGGCTCTCTTTAGTTATAAATATTTTTTTTCCTCAAACTCTACGACTAAAGACTAGTTCTCATGGGGCGGAAAATCGCGTTGCGAGCGCGAATTTTTTTTAAATTATCCCGCTGCGGGAAAATTTCAACTTTCGGCGGATCCGCAAAAAGTTAAACTATTTTTAACTTTTTAGCGAGTTTTTATAGTCTATCTTTGTCTAATCATGTTCTTTCTTCGTTTAATTTTTAACCTAACCTCAAATTGGGAGGAAAGCTGTTTGTTTTGGTTTTGATTGTTTTGGTAGTTTGAATTTTGATTTTGGAGTTGGGATTGCTTGCTCAGACCTTTTTAAGAAAATATCTCTGACCCACATTCTTCTTTCTTTATTATATGTTTTTGTAAAGACTTTTTGTTTTTATGCCATTCACAAATTAATATTAATCCAACTATGTACTGCCTTCTCCATTGATCATAGTTATAATTGTTAGCAATATTAGTATCCATAATTACATACAATTTAAATTAATTAATATAATAATATACAAGTTACAAATATTTTTGTTTACTTAAAAAAACACACTTGTCTTGTCACTGTCCCTTTTCAAGTTCTGAAATAAAAAAAAATCACTAGAAAATAATCTGAAATACCCTAAATTTATCTAAAAATCCGCATCCGGAATCCTGCTTCATGTGAACCGGCCAATTTTACTTTCTTCAACAGAATGCGATATTCCGCTCCCGCAACGCGATTTTCCGCTCCATGAGAACTAGGCTTAATACTTTCCGAGATACAGCCGAGAGCTATTCTTAGTGGGACACCCTGTACAGCCAGCATATTTTCTATAAAAATGGTTATACAGTGTATTAGCCGGTATAATATTTTTTAAAATAATATAATCAAGGTCGGACTGGGCCAGAGGGGCCCGGATGGCATTGTCAAGAGAGGCCCGGGTGGATTTTTTTGCGTATTTTAGACAATTTTTCCTTATTGATTTGTTGTTAATGTTCGAAATCAGGGAATAACCCGTAATGCAATGCACATGTGCACTGACATGTGACTATTGTTAATTAAAAAAAAAGTTTTTGGGATAACTTTATATTAGTAATATTACCGTAATTTTTTTCTCTTGCATTTCTATTTAAGAATAAATAATGAACTATTTTAGATGTAGGTCCTAAGAGAGGGAGGGGGGGGGGGCGAAGGCTGGTGCTCGGCTGGCAATCACCACCCTGACTATATGGCCAGTCCGACCCTGAATATAAATGATAAAAGAACACGTAATGTACTACCGTTGTTTTTAGACGAATTTATTTGTAACCAACCTAACATAGAAGACGCATCTGAAAATACTAATCAAGACTTTGAAAATGTTAAGGACACCTTAGTTGATAGTTTAGAGTCTTCTGAATTAAATAATGATTTAAAATTAAATCTCTTAGAAGGACAAAATGTTGCTAATACGTCTACTGTAAATCCTATTCAACAATATCAACTTGATACTAGTGCTGATTCTTATACAAGTACAGATAAAGAAAATAAAACCTTGTTGAATGATGATACTATAAAAATGAACGAAAATAGTCATGGTCAAGTAGTTCTAACAACTTCTGATATGAATAACAAAGAAACCAATGAAACAAGTTCTTTAAAAAATAAAATTATTGAAACTCAACTAAACAATGATGAAACAATCCAGACTGATGTAAATAAATATAATGCAAGTCAGAATTCAATGCTTGTTGTTAAATGTAGAGAAAATGAAAAAGATACGAATTGTAAGAAAGAAGTTATAAAAAATTATGAAAAAGAAACACCAAAAGATTTAAATGTTGAACAAAACATTAAAGATATTAAAACAGTACTTGAAGATTTTGCTGATAACAAATGTTATCTAAATGAAAAGTCAGAAATTGATGATTTAGAGAGTATAAAACAATTATCTAAAACCAACAGCAATATAAGTTCTAATTGCATATGTGGTAATCTTGAAGAAGACAGTACTAATGTACGTAGAGTCTCAGAAGAAGCGAATTTAATAGAAAAAAATAAAAATTTAAGTTTGAGAGATATTTTAGAGGAACCTGAGTCCAGCTTAATTAAAAATGACCAAAATATAAAGAATGTTACAGATGAACAAATTGAGTCTATATGCTCAGAAAATAAATTACCCAAAAGTGATAAGAATATAAAACCTCGTGGATCCTGTGCCAACGAGGAAAATATACAAAGTAAAACTGAAACTCCAAAAATATTAGAGGTCCAAGTATCAACCGCTAACCAAAGTACATTGTTAAACAATTTATCAATATCTAAAAACATAACTTTAGAAAGTATATTAAAAGAAACATCATTTAATAACACATTGATACCAACCATAAAAGTAAGTGTGCAAAATAATGATAATCATAATAATAAAATTTCGGATGAAGTAATTCAGACCACATCAGTTGCCAGTGAAGATCTAGATACAAAAACATTAGTCCAGGAATTCCAAAATTGTAGCATAGATTCAAACATTGCAAATTTTGAGAACAAAAACATTGAAGAAATGTGCATATTTAATAAAGATAAAGAAGATTATATCAAATTCGAAAGACAACAGAAACAGGCAGAAGAGAGTATTGAAGAAAATCTGCAAAATATATTGGATTGTGAGCACGGTATTGAAGAAAACTATGCAATTAAGAAAACTGATGTGAATGAAAAACATGTATCTTTAAAAAACACCTCGGAGGTAAGTTTTCAAAACAAAAAAGATTCAGAAAATAATGTTATAGAAAAGTATGAAACTAAATGTGCTGAGAAAACTGATGTTAATGATATTGACAAAGAACACAATGTATCTTCAGAAGAAAAATCAGAGGCAAGTATTCAAAGGGAAGATTGTAAGAATGAATCAAAAAATATTTCTGACTTTGATAAAAATACAGATGACAGTATTTTTTTAAGCAATATATCAGAAAAAGATGACAAGTTTAAAACTTTTGACATTGATACAGAACAAAAACCAAATAATAGTGACACTATGTTAGCTTCAAATAGCAATCAAAAAAAATATTTCAATGAAGATGAATTTATTGTAAAAGAAATTAAAAGTATTGAAGAAAACAGAGTACTTGAAAAGGAGATTGTAGATTTGAAATTAGATGAAGATAGTGATGGTCAAGATAAAGAAAATGAATCTTTTGAAGATATTAGAAATTTGGGTGCGTATCTATAATGTTTTTCATAAATGTTATTAATTTAATGACTCACAAATATACGTTTTAGGGTCAAGTCTATCTTCAAATTTTCACAGCAAAATTATTACAGAAAACATAACTGATATTAATATTGATAATAATGATGATCAAATTGAAGAAGATTCTACTATAGAAAAATCTTCAGAGGTATAAGTAGAAAATTTTCGAATGCACTATATTCATCTGTAAAATGCAACATAGCTCAGAGTAATCTAACACTGGTCTATAAGTGCATGTATAAAAATAACAAGGCATTGATATTGCGCCTTCTCATATTGAAATAAAATTATCATCACAAAGAATTGTATAGAACCAGATAATTAATTTTAGGTATTTCCAAAACTATCTGGCAACAGAACAAACTTTAACGAATCTTCTTTAATACAACGCGATTTTGAAGATTTAGAAATGATGCAAACTGGATCCGGTACAAATTCAGAAGATAATTTGTCAGAAGATACTAACAGGAGTTTAGTTCCTTCACAAGTATTTCTGCCAAAAGACGAAAAAGAAAATAAATTTGAGAGTATGGGTGACCATCAAAATAATGAAATCTCTCCAATTGAAGAATACAGGTAGATATTTTATAATAATAACAATGTAATTCACTTTTCACTTATCAATCTAATTACAGAAAAATCTCAAAGATTTATGAAGATGTAATTGAAAAACAATCAATAGAGTTGGCAAAGTTGAGAGAAGAATGCCATCGGTCAAATAGGTTGTTTACAAGCACAGAGATGGCATTTTCAGATTTATATTTGTTAGTATTTATTTTAGTGAAAAAAAAAAAAAAGTTGAACTTGTATGTGTTTTAGAAAATATCAAAAATCGAGAGCTACAATTGAGGCTTACAAGGAAAACGAAGATAATCTGTTATATAACATAGAATCTGCTGAAGATCAGTTTGAGAAATTAAAAGCAAAGTACGAAGTAATGAAGAACGCTGTTCAAGATGAAGTAGCAATGTAAGTTAACAACAATTCCGTTCTAGTTGGGGGTTGGAACATTTGGGGTTACAACAGCAAAATAAAACACTAGATAGTTAAAAGGAGTTTTAATCATCTGCTGATGAAGCTAACATGCTTTGCAAAACGAGCGTCCAGTGCAAAAGTAAAAGTATTTTGGTAAATTAGTGTTTTATTTTGAAATAATGCTGTGGTTTTAGATTTTACAATTTTAATTATCCCTTTAAAACCAACTCCCCATAAAACGTAAATCGACACTGGAAACTAAATAAATTGAATTCTTAGAACTAATTTAACGGGTCTATTCCCACTTGAAAATTGAAATTTTTATAAGTCATAAACTTAAACCTTTATTTTCTCCTTATTTTGTCAGCTAGGAATGAACCATTATTTGGGCCAATATTTAGCTACCCTAATATATAATCACTGGCACGAAAAACGGGCACCTTAAAATTTTAATGTATTTTAAAGTTTTATACAGGGTGTTTCAAAAAAAATATGCCATCTCTCGTGGGGAAGATTCCTCACGTAAAAATAAGATTTACTTTTCATATTAACATAGATCAGATTCTGCTTTGTTTCGTAGCTACAGGGTGTTAAAGTCTTAATAATCTTTCGATTTATTATAATTTTCTTCCAAGTACCTACTTTTAGTAATTCGAATTAAATTTTGAGAGTAAAAGTTACTATATCTAAGTGCTACATATTTTAATTCTAAAAAAGTGTCGATAAATTCATTAAGGACGTGCATATGGCAAACAAAGTTCAAAAACTGGAATATATTTCAAAAATAAAACTTGTGCGCCACTGATTTTCATTTGATATGATAATTGTGTAGGCCGTTTAATTCTAATTAAAAGTTGTCTCTTACTATTTTGTCGAATTCGGCTTGATGAGATAAATGCAATTTTATTAATCGCAATTCATAAAAATAAAAATAATAAATTTATATATTTTAACTAATTTATTATATATTAGTTATATATAATATATTATACGATATTATTACTATTAGTTGTTATTACTATTAGCCCAACAGCAATTTATAATAAAAAAATAATGGTATATTAGGTAATTAGAAAAAAACTAATTTAAAAAAGTTTTAACAACCTGTAACTCTAAAACTATGAATATCTATACCCATGTTTATAGGAACTTTTTTGATATTTTCTGATGAGGAATCAATTAATACTTATTTAAAACTATCGCAAGTTAATATTATTTTTTTTTCAAAGGTTGCTATTAGACTTGGATCAATGTAAATTAATAAAATTGGGGTTATCTCACCAAGGAGGCCGAAATTGACAAAATATCAAGAGACAACTTTTATAATAATAATAGCTCCCGTATATAGCGTTTAACGCCTTGGGAGTAGCAAGGTACAGCTTGCTATACTAGAGCCGTTCGGTATACAAGGAAGGTAATGTGGCTAGCACTACGCTTCAACCGCCTATTATTACCTCAGGATTGTGAATCCCAAGTACTCATTCAAGGCTGAGTCGACCTAGGTACCCAAACTATTTTTATTTTAATAAAAATAGTCGGCTGATGAAATGCCGGGTGTGGGAATCGGACCCACACCTTGAGATTGGTAGACGAGAGCCTGTACCTCTACGCCACCGGGCACCTAGAGAGACAACTTTTAACCGGCATTAAACTGCTTATACTATTTCGCTAACAAGAAAAAAAAAGTCTGTGGCGTACATGCTTTTTTTAGAAAAATCTTCCAATGATAACCCATAACGTGCTGGCAACTGTTATTTTTGGGTCGGCATCAAACCTTATTAAGTCTGAGTGAGAGAAATGCGACCGACCGACGCGACGCGACGCGCGACGGTGCGGTTGCGGCGTTGCCGATACGCCATTCCCTATCAAGTAAAGTAAAATCACGATCCCAAACCGCTTATTTTTAAAAGACTTTTTTTTAAAGAGATAACTAGATAAAATCATTAGACATGTTTCTGAGCATCTGTAATGGAATTATAAGGATATCGTTCGGGTGTCATTTTTTTTATAACGAGAAAACGCCAGTAATCGCGATAATTTAAAAACTCAACTTTTTAACACATAACAGGCCATAACTCAAGAACGACTTTAGATATTGAAACTTTTTTTTATTTTCAAGATCGGATATTTTACAATATGTTTACATAAGAAAAATTCGATAAGGTTGTTTTTTCCATTCAAAAATTGTAAACAATCCATCCATTTACTTTTAGAGCATAGCAATTTTTAGCAATCGTGTAATTTTTTTATTGATGAAGATTTTCATATACTGTCTACAAAGAAAATACAGCAGAAACATTAACAAAGTTCTTGAAAAAACTACAATCTATTATTTCTAATAGATTTCGAGATATCGATTTTTGAATTCAGAGTTCTAATAGTGCGACCACTATCGACCACCCACTCAATTCCACTTATTTTTACCAAAAATGCAAGTGTTTCTAGCTTGCACTTAAAAAAATTCAAGCTGTAGGGAAAATTACAACGAATCGTTAATAAATAAACAAATTAAGTATCATGAGACATAATTAAATCGTGAAGCTGAACGCATAATGTACACCTTTTCCTAGAACTTTAAGTACTGACGGAGGTACTGATTGGGTCGGCCGCTCGACTACGACAAATCTGCTATCTGCCCTTCCACGTCTTTTAACAATATGTGTACAGTTTCTCGGTTTATTTCATGTGTTTGGCAACGTGTTTACTGTTCCCTCTTTGTTCGGTACATTATAAAACGCATTGTACTCTTCTTACATACGGAAATCGACCCAAGACTAAGCTTTGCCAGCCCTTAGTATACACGTCCCTGGTGAATATGTAGTAGTGATATAAGAATTCTAAGTAATCGTTACAAAGTAACAGTTACTTTCAGGGTTGTTAAGTAGTTTATGAAGCAAAAAACTACGCCAAAAACTACGCGTAGTTTTTTGTATTAACTACGTTTTAAAATTTTAAAAACTACCTTCAAAAACTACCTACAAAAATATAGTAAAACAAACAATTTAGATTTTAAATAAAAATCAAGCCAAATTCTTATCATGGAAGTATGAAGTTATACCGTGTGATCGAATAAAAACGGCGTCCACGATGGCTATGAAATGAAGATCGCTGTCATTTTATATGTAAAGTTATATGGCAAATGTCATCGATCGTCATTTCCAAGCCCACTGGACGCCGTTTTTTTTTCGATCATACGGTATTATATTATACGGTAGTATATTAAAGTTAAACAACATCAGAAAAAAAAAATACAATTTTTTTAATAAAAGTGTATTTTCTATGAAATACAAAGTAACAGTAAACACAAAATAAACTATAAATTCTAATTTTTAACTACTAAGTATCAAAAATATCACATAATAAGGAACAAATTCACAAATTATAAATTTGTTTTTCACTGTTATTTTAAAAAACTACACTAGTTACATAAACTACACATTTACTACTCGACATTTAAAAACTACTTGTGACATGTAGTAAATGTAGTTTATTAATTACTACGTGTAGTTTAACAACTCTGGTTACTTTACGAGGACTCGAAGTAACGCTTGCTATTTGAATTTAGGACTCGTTACTCGTTAGTAAGCTAATTCGTTACGTTTGCGCCGGCAGTAATCGTAATCCCTGGAAATGCACGAACCGAGGACTCGTAACTCGATACTTAAATATTCCTTACTTCGACATGACGTAGGTCTAGTTGTTATCAATATGTTTATGTTTAAAGTGTTGACTTGACGCCGGCCGGTGTTTTGGACGGCAAGTGTGTGATATTTTTATTACAATTATTATGCGGATTGGCTCATGCCGACCCGGAGGCGGTCTGTCCCTTTGCCGTTTGTTGTCGCTTTTTATTTATAGAATAGAATTGTTTATTTAGATTAACATGTCTTAGATATTAATTAAAAATGGATTCACGTTAGTTACAAAAAATTTTAACATCTGAAAAAGCAGAGCAAATATTTTTCTTCTTCAAAAGAGAATAGATATTTCGCTACTTACACTGTAAGAAAATCTACAAAATAAAAATAGTAATTTTTAGTAAACACTGCTGCGTTAATCCAAATGACTTTTTTGAAGAGATAAATCCGTCATAGAGGAATATACTTTTTTTAATATTTTTACATTTTAACAAAAATATATACATTTTTTTTATTTTTACTCATTAATGTTTGCCTATTTATTAATGTAATATAAAGAGAGAGAGAGAGAGAGAGAAAATATAAAAAAAATACTTTATATTTATTATACACATATTTTCTTTGTTTGATTTGTTTTCTTTTATTTTTAATTTTATTAATAGTACATAGTTTTATTTAACATATCATTATAAAACTCTTATACATATTATTAAAAACATATTATTCAGTACTTGAATACCGAGTAGGTTTTGAAATTATCCTATTAAGCCCTTACGCAAGAAGAAAGTAGAAACCCCTTATATGTTTAACCGAGCATGCAACGAAGATCGCCGGGCACAATAAGTAACGAAGTTCCACGTCAAGTCCAAGTCTTCCAACCTGTACACAAAACAACGATTATAAAGTAACGATAGTACCAAAGTAACGAGTAACTAAAGTAACGAGTCCAAAGTAACGAGTCCTATTACCAAAAGTAACTAGTAGTTACAAGTCCATAAAAGTGTGTAACTAAAGTTTACATCACTAATATGTAGACACTTTTTTAGCTTTAAAATATGTAGCATTTATAGTAACTTTTACCCTCAAAATTTAGAGATGCTAAAAGTACTTGAAAGAAAATTAAAATAAATCGAACAAATATTAAGATTCTAACACCCTGTAGCTACGAAACAAAGCAGAATCGGACCTATGCTGATATGAAAAATAAATCCTATTTTTACGTGAGGAATCTCTGCAAGAAAGATGGTACATGTTTTTTGAAACACCCTGTATATTGTTTTCTATGGACCGATTTTGATGATCTTTTAAGCAATTTGTAGCTAAATTATTTGAGTAATGAGTAGTTTTTCAGTAGCT